ACTTCTGTCTCAGTTAGGATTCCTAGTGCTGTGAAGGGACACCAGGACAATAGCAACTCTTATAAAAGAAAACATTTAACTGGGGTGGCTTGCTTACAGTTTCAGAAGTGTATTCCATTATCATCATGGTGTGACATGGCAGCATGCAGGCAGACATGGTGCTGGAGAAGGAGCTAAGAATCCTACATGTTCCAGGCAACAGGAAGTGCTCTGAGTGTCACACTGAGGGAATCTTGAGTGAAGGAGACCTCAAAGACTACTCCCACAGTGACAAAATTTCTCCAACAAGGTCTCATCTACTTCAATAAGGCCACATGTTGTAGCTAGAGTTTTCCTGCCTTGCCCACAGTCAGCAAAAATAATTGTCTCCCGCCAGTCCCATAGCTGCTCAGACCCAACCAAGTAAACGCAGAGACTTATATTGCTTCAAACTGTATGGCATGGCAGGCTTCTTACTAACTGTTATTATAGCTTAAATTAATCCATTTCTACAAATCTATACCCTGCCATGCGGCTGGTGGCTTACCGGCATCTTTTCATTCTGTTTGTCCTGGCGGCTGGCTGGCTGTGTCTCCTTCTGCCTTCCTGTTCTTTTATTTCTCCTCTCTGTTAGTCCCACCTATACTTCCTGCCTAGCCACGGCCAATCAGTATTTTATTTATTGACCAATCAGAGCAACTTGACATAGAGACCATCCCCCAGCACAGCCAAGTGCAGACCATCTCAGACACCTGCATTCAGGCCCATGGTCCTAATCATCCTCTATGCGGACCTGCTGAGTAAAGCCACGAGGAACCCAAGAACCGGCTCCCACAGGACATACAGAACATCCCACAGCAACACGTTCTAATAGTGCCACTCCTTTGGGGGCCTTTTTTGAAACCACTCACATATGTTATGTATTTATCTTTAAGAATTTTTATCTTCTGTGATTTAAAATTCTATGTGATTACTATTAGTGACAAGTTTAAAATTTATACTGAATTTTTATGATAGTCTTTCCTTTATTCTAGTTTTGCTCTTACTCTTAATTTTACATATTCGTTCTTGAATCTTTGTTATTTGGGCTTATTTATATGAACATAGTCCTTTTTCATATTTCTGTGGATTTTCACTTTTTTTTATCCTATCCAGGTAGATTACTTTGCATTTCTTATTTCAAGTAACTCAACAAGCTCTTAAAACAACTGACATCTTTATGCTTACATTCCAAAGATTGAACTTTGAATAAATTTTTTAAATCAAGGAATTAGTTCAGTTCACACATATTTAGTGTTCAGGTCATTGAAAATTGAGTGGGTTTATATGACTACAACCCCATCAATCTAGAACAAGTTTAAACTCTTTAGCAATTTCTCTTGTTCCCTTCCTCTTCAGTCTATGATCAACTCCACCACTCTAGGTAACAACTTGTCTTTTCTTCCTGCAGTGTTGAGTTTTTACTATATGATATCAATAGATTTCTGCATCATTTTTTCTAACTTAATTCCATTACTTCTCAGTAGAATATCTGTGTCACTCTCCCATCTTAAGTCTTGGATAATAACTAATTTTTATTATGTAAAGATGTATCTTCACATAGATATATAATATATATATTATATACCACTAGTTAACATTTTGGCTGCTTTTAATTGTGATAATTTTTTAGCTATTTATGAAAATTGAACATAAGTCATTATATTTTAATTTATAAAATACTTCTTAAACAAATATCTAAAGCTGAAATTAGTGAGAACTGTCTCATGTGTACAGCTGTGAGAATCTGGCATGTGGATTTTAAGGCTATTTGGAATATTCTGCATCCATAATCAGCAATAAGCAAGGCTTCCAGTTGACTTCGTTTCCTCTAAACATCAGGAGAATTGAGTTTTAGATTCTAAAACATCAGCAAGGAGTATATTATCATACTTTAATTTTGTCTATCTTGGAGACTATTAATAGCAGTCACCTAAAAATCCTGTTAATTGAATGTTTTATTGTATAACTTATGAATATTTTCATGCATGACCTGGCTCATCATGAGTTTCTAACAGTTGTTTTCAGTATATGTATTTTTATACTCAATGAGATCCAAGTAAATACTATTTGTGATTTATTTTTGTTTATAGTGAACACTTAAAGTTATTTTAATTATTGAGATTATATTTTTATACTTACATGAAAATTTCATACAATGTGTTTTGATCATGTTCACCCATCCTGAACTACTCTCACCCTTCTACCACCCACCCAACTTTGTATCCTTTTCTTTTCTTTTTTTCCTTCTTAAACCAACTAATAAAGTCCAATTTCTGATGTATTTATATTCTTGGATACGCAGTATTACAATGGAGAGTGGCTGATTTACCAGTGGTATGCTCTTAAAGAAATAATAATCTCCCTTTACCAATAGCTATTGATTGTCGATAACTCTTCAGCTAGGGTGGGAATCTGTGCCATCTTCCCTCCTTGTGCTGGAATTGGTCTGTCTTGAAGATACCTTGATAGTGTACCTCGTTAATCTTTTGATACTTTGGAATTCTAGTCCAGTGCTCTTTGTCTTCCAATACTTGTCATGGGTAATGTTCAACTATAAACCTGTTTCCTCATTTTTACTGTCTAGAACTCTGTTTTTTCTTTTATTTATAATTGTATTACTTTCCTTTACAAGATCATAGAACTTCCTTAGTTTTCCTGCTGAGAGCTGCTGGTGGCAATGTCTTTACCAGAGGGCTTGGGAATATACAGCAGGTGAAAACTAGTATTTAACAGGTCAACCCACTAGACGAAATATCTCTCTGTTGGGGAGCCCCACTAGGCAAAGTCTGTGGGGTCTCTGACTGTGGAAACCGGTTGTTGTCTGTCTGTAACTTTCTCATGTGACACTACTTACCTCCCTAAAAAGAACAGCTGTGGGGTTCTTTCCACAGACCATTGGTAGTGTCTTATAACTGGGCATATATTTGGGGATATATATATATATATATATATATATATATATATATATATATATATATATATATATATATATATAAAACTGTGGATGGTTAGAAAGATGATTTCTGCCTAAGCTGTATAGGATAAGAAGTTGTATAAGAATATTTTTCTTAACTGACACAGTAAAGTAACATTATTGTCAGTCACAAAGACAGCTAATTTTAGATTTCAGAACAAATTCAAAACAGACTAGCTGCCCCTGCAGAGAATAGACAAACAGAAATTCCACATGTTTATTAATGAATCAAGGTCAGAACTGAAGCAAAAGCAACTTTGGTAGACATAACCCCCTGCAGCAATTCTCTTGCTGCATGTACCCCTACCACTCTAGGTTCAGTCAACTACCGCTATTGTTAAGTACTGAGTTTCAATGTTGTTCTCTGTCTGGGAAAGAGCTAAGATGTGCTTGGCCAAGTGTTACTCACTGGCTAGTCAGTGCAACCATCATAACCTGAGAAAAACTGTGTGACTTATCATATGTTATGAGAATGGGTCAGACCCTGAAAATGTAACATATAATTGTTCAGAGTTTGGCTGTGAGGAGAAAAAGAAGAAGAAGAAATGTGAGAGTAAGATGAGAGAATGAATGAGTGAGAAAATTAATGAGTCAAGAGTGATGTAATAACATGTGAAGGAATGTAGCAGAGTAGAGAAAAGAAATGTGTATAGAAGAGAGATGTGGAGCTATGTAAGAATGAGATGTCAAGGAAAATGAAGATGTGCAGATTAGAGATGTAACTGTGCAAAGGAGGTATGTGGCTGTGTGAAGAATGTATGAAGAGTGCAACAATGTGGAATGTATCTATGTGGAGACAGAGACATTTTCAAAAAGAATTTTTTAAAGATGAAGTAAAAAGGAAAGTTAGCACCAGAAAGCATGTGTGTTTCCTTATTTACCTGTCAGACAGATAGAAAGTTATTTCTAAAGACCCTCAGATTAAAAAAAGTTTCTAAAGCCCTCACTACCCAGATGTCTTCTATTCACAACCATGGGGCAGTTCTCAGGAGCTGGCCTCCCACGGACTGCATTATTTTCCCTTGTCTAACTTCTGCTTGATCTCCCTTCATCATTCTAGGTTTTCAAAATTTGTGCTTATGTTGCTATTTACTTTTTTCTAAGTACACAAAGTGAAAACATTTATTGATTTTTATTCTTCATTCTTTTCCAGCTCTTTGATGGTGTTCCTGTCCCTTCACTACGCAGCACAACCTCCTAATGTTTTATCTTATGTTTACAGTAGTATTTATATAAAATAGTCAATGTTTTCTCCTTTGATTTCCTACTTATCCATAAATAAGAAAATATGCATTTTAGGAAGAAATCTAGTAATTGTGAGAAGTATACTGCTATACTGTTTTAAAAATAATTTTTCATGCAATGTATCTATATCTGGTACATTCACAATGAAACATTATTTAGCTTACAAAAATGAAATTAATAAATTTGCTTTTAAACATTCAAGTTGATTTGCACAAGTTTTGAGAAGGCATCATCTTGGCATAAGAACATTGAATAAACATATTATTTGTTCTGAACTTCTTTAAACTTTGAACATCCATTGTTTTTTAGGCATGCAGTTATGAGGACATTTCAAACTCTTGGTACTAGAATCTGTAACACCTATGTATTTTCCAAGATCATCATCCAAATACAGAAACTCTAATTGGGTAAATGAGCTCTATACATCTAAAAGAGCCAATTTACTCTTGGGTTTAAAGAAAAATACAAGAAAACACATTTTCAAGAGTTCAGATATTCTGAAGGATTACGGATTCTCTTGGACAAAAAAATAATATTTTGTGACTGATCTAAATCTTGCTTGGTTAGAAAAAAATTTTCAGAGAGGATTATGGCGTATCTTTAAAACTATGATTAGTTTTCTTCAGCCCAGTAATGCAAATTATTTTGATTAACCAAGATATCACATATAAATGACCAATGGCTATTTTTATATTTTTTACATTGGGAATCCTTAAGCTACTGAGCATGCACTCATTTTTCTTACTCTTTTCCCTTTTAGAGACATGTTCAAAGTCAGATATTGAAATTGAGAATGGATTTTTTTCTGAATCTGATCTTATATATGCTCTAAATAAAAAAACGCAGTTTAAGTGCAAACAGGGATATGTAACGGCAAGTGGAGAAACATCAGGACCAATTACCTGTCTCCAAAATGGATGGTCAGCTCAACCTTCATGTATTAGTGAGTACTTCATGATATTCCTGCCATTATATTGGTGATGTATAAGAGTTTAGTTTTATTTTCCTTTTATGTGGCTGATGCTATTTCATTTGAAAGATGAGTTTTAAACTTCAAGAAAGAATACACACAACTATTTGTTTTTCCTTTTGGACTCATTCCTGTATTGTTGAATATCAGTTCATTTCCCTTTTCAATGCTTTAAAATATATAATTTTAAATCTGGTGAAGGATTCCTTGACTGGCTGCCTTTTTAAAAGGTATTCTGCCTTGAATATCAAAGCCTTTTCTCTTACATATAAGGTAAAGTTTCTAAGGAATATATATCTCTATGTTTTAAATCCCAGAATATGTAATAACTTTATAATATGTATTTAACACTATCAGTTACAGTCCATCTCAGAACATTTCCCTCTTAAGAATATTTCCCCAAATATCTTGATATCGGAAAGAAAGAAATGTTTCCATGTAGTAGCAAATTTTGCTTTTTTGAAAGTTTTCCTTGTCTTGTATTTTATGAAGTTTTTCTAAAAATAATAATTAGTTCAGCTTATCTTTCTTATCACAAAGAAGCCAGTGGTATTTTTCAAGAACTATTCAACATGCCTTAAATGAAATGGCAATTTAAGATAGTCACTAATTTCTTAATTTTTATTTTCTTAAATCTATTGTACTTTCACAGTATCTAGTTAAAGGAAAAGCAATTAAGATTATTTACACGAAACATTCATTTATATGAAATTATAATTAAGAAGGCTTTACTGCATTTTCTTATTGTGAAAGAGAAAATCTTTGCTATAATACAATAAATGCACCTGTACGAAATTCAGGTGATCAACGTTTCTATATTTTATGAGTCATTTTAACTACTAAATATGTGACCTGAATTCAAAAAATGCTGCCCTACAAAACACATATGCACTTGTTTACTTACTTGTAGTATGGGATAAGTATAAGAAAATTTGAGCTGAGAAACTATTTTTAAATAATATTTTTAAAAAGCTTAAGTGAGCTTATAAATACAATATAATAGTGTGTTTTTCATTTTAATAACTGTTTCAGTTGGTCTGTTTCAGTTACTGTTGGTCTTCTAAGGATGTTTTTATACAGTATTTAATTTGTTTTTGCATATTAACCTATGAATACTTGGTTCTCATGAGAATTACTCAGATTGTCCATTGACACATTAGAAATGAAATCTTCTATTCTATTTTTCATTAGAGTCTTGTGATAGGCCTATATTTGAGAATTCTGGAACTAAAAGTAATAGCACCTGGTTTAAACTCAATGACAAATTGGACTATGAATGCCACACTGGATATGAAAACAAACATAAAGATACCAAAGGCTCCATAACATGTAATTATGATGGATGGTCTGATAAACCCTCATGCTATGGTGAGTATTATTTTCTCTTGAATTTTATTTAAAAAAACTAAATATTTATATGTTACTTAAAAAATGAATTTCCTAGAATCTTCTTTCTTATTTAGTGTAAACTGGGAGAAAGAAATGTCTGAAAGGCTGAAGATGATCATAACTGTTTTTATTGTTTCATCATATTCATTTATTTATCCTGTGCATTCATTCATGCATACGTGTGTTTATAGAGGTGTTCACACTGAATGAAAAAAAAAAAGACAAAACAAGAACATGACTGCTCCTAGGTATGGGAGGAGGAGAAAGTTTATTGTAGATATGAGGGAGAAAACAGCTAGAGGCATCTGGAAGGGTCCAATCTGAATCAGGCAATGAGAGGTGTGGGAGAGCAAGACAGGAAGAGAAGAGAGAGGGAGCAAAGAGAGTACCTGGGAACCCAGAAACCCAGAAAGAAAGAAATCATGTAGCCAAAATGGCTGGGTTATCTATAGAAGAGCAAATGGAACAGGGCAGTGAAATTCAGGTTCTGCAGAGGTTTTGTTTGCAGAGGAATGTGCTGAGAGGAGTCAGGCCTCTGTAACAAGTGTTGGTGACGCTGAGACTGGTCAGCAACTCCTTTGATATGTTCACTAGGCACCTGAGTTAGCCATGCATCCTGAGTTTGAGAGCTAACACACACCACAGTGCACATGTAGATGTCAGAGAGCCTGTGAGAGTCAGCTTCCTCCTTTCATCATGGGACTCTCAGGGATTGAACTCAGGTCTCCAGACTTGGAGGCCAGCACTAACACTTACTGATCCATCTCATTAGCCTGATAATGCATTTTAAAATAATTCATTCTTCAAGTGTAATTGGCACATGCTTGTGGTTCCAGCACGTAGGAGCTGGGCACAGGAGGGGTTACATTTAAGGACATGTTGGAATACATATCGAGTCTCTGCCTCCAAAAACAAGCAAACAAATATATTAAATTAATCTTTTGTTTTTATGACTTGTATATTTCACATATCTCTGATTAAAGCATAATTGTTTTATTATCATAAATGAAAGCTCTTAATTATTTAAACTAGGTCTCACTTATCAAAATTATGATTTGGGTATGAAATATAGTCATCCAAACATGAACAATGTGAAGGAAGAGAAGTAGAAATAAAAAATTAAAAGGATAGCAGCAGAGACTGTGAAACGCTCAAGGGTCAACTCAATACAATAATTTAGAGAGATATCTCTTTCATTGGAAATCAGGGCTTTCTATAACACAATGGAATACTAAACGAGAATACAAAGGCAGGGCTATTAGTTGAGTTGGACAATACTTGGCTAGCCCATAGCCTAAGGGTCAGGCCTAGAATTACAAAAATAAAATGAAAAACAGGATTTTTTTTTCACGTTAAGACAAAGTATTTTGGTATGTTAGTATGATAATTTCTATAAAATAAACAAAAATACATAAACAGACAGAAATACAAATAAAAATCTCTAAATTATTGTAATTTTATTATAGAAGAATTATGATGAGTCTTGTTCAGGATGATTTTTCCCAAGTAGTCTAAAACTCAATAATAAAAGAAAGGAATTATTTGGAGAGTGTTCCCAGAGGGTCTCACACACTTAGCATGTGGCATTTCTCTGAGTTCCATCTCCAGCCACACTGTAAGTATTTATTTAGTACTTGTTTAAAAACATGTCTTTCAAATCCGTTGCTACGTATGTATTAATATTTTACTTTTGAAAGTATGAATTATCTTTTTTGTATCATCATAATATTATCCCTGTGATTTTTAACTAATAAATTACCAAAAAAAGGAAATGTTAAGGAAGAAAATATTTACTTAGTTTTTTGTAACAAGAATCCCAAGTATTGAAGAAAATTTTTATTTTAATGGATAATATTACACATTCCTAATTTGAGTCAGAATAATTAACAATTGGTTATTAAATTGTAAGTACAACAAATTAGTTTAGAGTAATGTAATTGTTTTGCATGTATTTTATTTTCTTCAATTCAAAATATACTAATTATATTTTCCTAACTTCAGTTACATTAGAACTGATTTTCTGTGATATACTTTCTCAATTATATTAAACTGAAAAATTTTGATATGTGATTTAGATATTGCAAAACATTAATTTCAAATATGAGAGAACAATTTTTGTTGTGAGAATAGGGAAGTTGTGACGTTAGTATTAATAACTCATTACATCAAATCAGATCCAGTAAAAATAAGTTGATTTTATTAATCAGTTTTATAACAAATATATTGCATTATCTTACATTTCTCAGAGACTTCCATATAGATTTGGGTGCTATATCAAATCTAATATGCAGCATTTTTCATAAGGAAGGAGGTTACTGATACTTCCTGTGACTGAGCATGAGGGAGATAAACCTATTTAACAATAATTAATTGTATATTCTAATTATCTTACTTTAAAGAAAGCGAATGCAGCATTCCCTTAATAGGACCATACTTAATTGTCAATCCCAAGAAAGAACAATATAAGGTTGGAGATTTGTTGGAATTTTCTTGCCGACCAGGACACAGAGTTGGACCTGATTCAGTGCAATGCTACAACTTTGGATGGTCCCCTAGTTTCCCAACATGTAAAGGTCAGTGTCTGTTTTACCTTTGATGAATGAGGATCAGAAGTTTATTTTTCTTCTCCTAATATCCCCCAGTCTTCCGTTATGTCTGTAATCTCGAGCATATTCAGAGATATAGACAGCCATGGTCAAGATGTGCTGTGTGGCTAGTACACAGTAATAACTTATTTACAAGGATAATCCTAGGCTAACTCACTTCGTAAAATGTGTAGCACTGTGTTTACCCCTGCAAACATGACAGGTAAGACTACAAAGACTTATTTCATTTTGTCTAGATTAACATTAATGTTGGCATTTTTAAAGGGTGAGCCAACCATCCCTTCTCACAGACTACGTCAAAACAGTATGAAAGCAGATTTTATTAATTTGATTCCATGTATCAGACAAATTGAAACAGACTGGTTAGATGCTTGCTACAGTGGTGATATTTTCTGCAAAGTGGTAATTCCAGGAAATGTGAACATCATTATAACTGACACAACTACAATTGCTGACTGGTTTGCATGCATCTTTAAGATATCAAGTTTATCAGACACTGTTCCACCTTCAAAATGTTTCCAATGCTGTTTCAGCAGGAATATTACAATTGTGAAATGTGAGTGTAGTGTAAATACCATTATTTAATATAGTGTTATAAAAAGTGATATGGCTAATAATTTTTTTTAGTTTCTCCATATACTAGATTGTTAGACTGTAAGATGAACATTTTCATTTATATTTACACAATATTTCCACAATAGGTCAAGTAGGATCATGTGATCAACCTCCTGAAGTCCTCAATGGAGAAATTAAGGGAACAAAGAAAGAAGAATATGGTCATGGTGAAGTGGTGGCATATGATTGCAAGCCTAGATTTACCCTGAAGGGACCCAATAAAATCCAGTGTGTTGATGGGAAGTGGACAACATTGCCAATATGTATTGGTAATTAAAGCGTTATTATTTAAACACTGTTTGTATCTCATGTGACCTCTTAATCTTAAATACATGTTTGTGAAACAACTACAGAGGAGGAAAAAACATGTGGAGACATCCCTGAACTTAAACACGGCTCTGTACAGTTTTCTAACCCACCCTACCACCATGGAGATTCAGTGGAGTTCACCTGCTTGGAAACATTCACAATGATTGGAAGCGGGTCAGTTTCATGCATTAGTGGAAGGTGGACCCAGCTTCCACAATGTGTTGGTAAGTCTGTGTGCCTCAAATTGATACTTCAAAAAGTTTAATATTTTTATTGCAGAGATATTTGCTACTATATACTTCTGAAGTTAGTACTCATTTTGGAAACAACTAGTCTTAATGGCAATTCAAATTTTAATTGTTTATAGATTGATGCATGTCTAAAGATGAGCATAAATTAATAATATAATCTGTAAATGTTTGTTGTCTATCTTCAGTCAGATCTAATTTTTAGTTGCAATTTTTTTTTAAAGATTTATTTATTTATTTTGTATACAGCATGTATGACCAGAAGAGGGCACCAGATCTCATCACAGATAGTTGTGAGCTACCATGTGGTTGCTAGGAATTGAACTCAGGACCTCTGGTGGAGCAGTCAGTGCTCTTAACCTCTGAGCCATCTCTCCAGCCCGCAAATTTTTATGTGACTAAAATATCAATACTAATACCTAAGATGACATGATTATGTTATGCAAAACATCATTGCTGTTATTGTATGGCACTCTCCTTTCATGTCTTGGAAAGCTAAGAAATAAAGTCTGCCAAGTACCCATTTCCTACTCCCCTTCAACAAACTTTCCTCTCTCAGAACTTCTATGATACTTCTGTCTGTTTCACATGCTGCAAGCTGAAGTCAATGTGCTGGAGGTAGGACCCTAGGACTATTTTTTCTTTTTTATTTATTTAAGAAAATTTTCCACTCATTCTACACATCAACCACAGACCCCCCCTCCCATCCCTCCTCTTGCTCTCCCCTCCAGCTTCCCCCTTCCAACCCACCCTCCATCCCCTCCTCCAAAAGGATAAGGGCTCCTATGGAGAGTCAGCAAAGCCTGGTACATTAAGTTGAGGCAGGTCCAAGCCCCTCCACCCTGCATCAAGACTGAGCAAGGCTTCCCACCATAGGTAAGAGCTTCAGAAAGCCAGCTCATGTACTAGGGATAGATTCTGACCCCACTCCAAGAGCCCCTTAAGCAGACCAAGCTACACAACTGAATCCCATCTGCGGAGGGCCTAGATGGGGCTAGGGAGAAACATGGTGCCAGAGAAATTCCCAGGAATCTTGTCACAAGGATGACCCAAGATTAGACTACTTGCAACAGTGGTGAGAGTGCCCGAACTGGCATCCCTGGTAATCAGATTGGTGAATAACCTAAGTGTTACCATGAAGCCTTCATCCAGGAACTGATGGAAGCAGATGCAGAGATCCACAGCCAAGCACCAGGCCAAGTTCAAGGAGTCCAGTCAAAGAGAGGGAAGAGGGTATACGAGCAAGGGGAATCAAGGTCATGATGGGGAAATCTACAGAGACAACTGAACCAAGCTCATAGGAACTCACTACATTTAGACAGGCAGTTGAGAAACCTGCAAGGGACTGAACTAGATATTTTTTTTTTCTTATATCACATCTATCTAAAAAGGACATTTAAACTAGAAACTTTTTACATCCTACCCACACATATTTCTATTTTAATATTTTTAAACGTTTGGATAAAGATAATATAATGGGGGAAAACAAATATGAATATTCTCACAGCTTTCAAGTATGGTACCAAAGCCGGACATGTCATAATCATTTCCTAAGTAGAGCATCTGAGATAGTGATTTCCTATGTACTTGCATTTGCCAAGTACCCAGATCCCTTCACAACACAAACTCTCTGAGACATAAAAGACTGGATGGACATGAGATGTAGTTCAGTTTTCATAAACCACTTCTGCATGGCAACCCTGAGCATTTTGATTGGCAGATTTTTAGGTATTGTATAATGACTACATAGCTGTTTTTAATGTAGCAACTAGCTCACTTCTTGTAAATTGTTTTATTTTTCATGGAAATGTTTTCACATAGCAACAGATCAACTGAAGAAGTGTAAAGCACCACAGCTAACTTATGTGGACAGAATTCAACCCAATAAGAAAGAATTTCATCATAATGTTAGCATGAGTTACAAATGTAGAGGAAAGAAGGAGTATAAACACTCAACATGCATCAATGGAAGGTGGGATCCTGAGCCAACCTGTAGAGGTAAGCTCTTGTTTGCATTGTCTTCTAGTGGTTATTCTAGTCCTTTCTCACCTGTGATAGTAGTGCCTTTGAGTTACTAAAACAATGGAAGTTTTTTTTAGTATTTCATATGTGAATCCTGAATTGTTATCACTTCCAACTCTCCATCTTCCCACTCAAATTGGCTTATATAATTGAACCTGATGAATCCATTTAGTGTTTCTTCTACATGTATGTGTTTAGGAATAAATGCTTAGGATTGAGTAACAGATATTTTAGCTCACTCATCTGTGGAGCAAATGGATTATCACTCTCTAGACACTCTTTAATTACCCATAGTTCCTCACGTAGGAGAAGGGCCTTGTAAGGTTTTCTCCATCCATGTTGACATGTCAACTGGTATTGTCATCATGCAGGTCTTGTTTAGGTTACTATACCTTTGAGATTTCATATGATTAAATACCCTGTCATATATGAAGACACTGTCTCATAACAGACATAATGGAAAAATACTTTTTAATAGAGAAGATGATTTGGAAATTCATGTATTACATATTTTATTGACCTTTAATGTAAAACACTCTAGCAAACTCTATAGTCCCTTACTCTTAGATTCCCATTGCTTCTACCTATTTAATACAACAAATGCTCCATGCAATTCCTATGCCTTTGCTTAGTCATCATGCATTTCTGTATGAATATGTATAGTGTTAATCTAATAGAATATTCATTCTTGTAGTAATCAATCTGTTATTGTATAAAACTGACTCACTTGACATTTCCAATTCTGTTTAAATAGCAACAAGTTTATTCAACTACATTTGCTTCTACATATGTATTTATTTCTACCACTCTGAATGCCATGCCTCACTTGATATTTCTTAAAAACTTTCACAGAAGGTATTTCCATGTGATTCAAAAATCAACCTATTATGTACCTTTTCATGAGGTGCACGTGTTGTTTTGTGATTGCCTCTGGTTTTATCATGTCTGATATCATTTTGATTATTGTTTGAAGTAAGGTAGTAGTTGTTTTTCTTTCCTGTATGACTAGCTACGTGTTCAAAGATTGTGGGAAAATGTATTAATGACTTAACTGTTAATTTCATTCTAGTAGTTCCACTCTACTTAAGCAGAAATAGAAAAAAATTATTGTTAACAACCAGTAATAAAGAACACTTTTACATCATGAATCAAAAAATGAATGTGAGATGTCTTTATTTTATAGTGATTTAGAGAAAACTTCAAAAATATAAAATATATGATTATTACACTGTCATAAATAATTTAATATTTAAAGAAAATTATTACTTCAACAATTAAGATACTATCTTTAGACAAGAACTCTGACTTCAAATGTTTTTAGGAGCAGAGAAAGAATTCTGCCCTCCTCCACCACAGATTCCAAATGCCCAAGTGATGCAAACCACAGTGAAATACCAGGATGGAGAGAAAGTATCTGTTCTTTGTCAAGACAATTACATAATACAGGACACAGAAGAAATGGTGTGCAGAGATGGGAGGTGGCAGTCATTACCACGCTGCATTGGTCAGTAGCTCTGACTTATTTTACAATGAGAATTCTGGTGTAGGGGAGGATATTGAAAAAAATGACATAATATTGTGGAGACATAATCCCAAGAGTTTGTTTTTATTTTCCAATGTAAAATTTTATCTATGCTTCACTCTTTCATTTGTGTTCTTCATATAGAGAAAATTCCATGTTCCCAGCCCCCTGAAATAGACCACGGATCTATTAAATTACCCGGAGTGTCAGAAGAAGGGAGAGACAGAGTGGAGTCCAGAATTCATGAGCACGGCACTACACTCAGCTATGTTTGTGAGGATGGATTTAGAATGGCTGAGGAACACAGAGTAACCTGCAACATGGGAAAGTGGAGTGCTCCACCTCGTTGTGTCGGTGAGAACAACATGAAAATTTAATTCTGGTTTTAGAATAAGTCTTTACCAATAATATACTCTCATGAAAACTGGAAGAAAGAATGATTTAGATTGGCACATACAATTGTTAATCTATTAACCATAAATTCCATTTGCATAATTCAATTTATCCTGCTCTTGTTAAAAGTATTGATTGTCTTGAAATACATTTTACACTTGAATTTCTCTTTTTAAATATAATGCATAGTCTCCTAACTTCACCTGCTCATGTGAGTTGCATCGTTTCATTTGTCAGCAGGTGTTAAACTCCTCAGTGTCTTTTCCCCACAATGTGCTGCACCTGTAATATATGGGAGGTTTCCTGAGAATATTGTTTCTTGCTTTTTTATTTCATTTGCCACTCATGATTTTTTAGATATTTTGGTGTCAAGTTCTTTTTTGGTGTTTAAGCAGTTTAGTAGATGCAAGATAACAGAAGGTGGTCTTAGGAAGCACTGTACACCTCTTCTGTGATGGAACATCTTCCTTGTTAACATTTCCTTCCAGTACTACTACACATAGAATTGACATATGAGAGTGAGTTTCTGAATTAGTGCAATGTGGAATCATCTCACTCTGTTCCTCTCATTGTGTTATTTTTAGGACTTCCTTGTGGACCTCCAACTTCAATCCAACATGGTATTGTGTCTAATGAGCTAGACAGTTACCAACATGGAGAAGAGGTGACATACAGTTGTACTGAAGGCTTTGGAATTGATGGACCAGCACTGATTAAATGTGAAGGAGGAAAGTGGTCCCAGCCACCAGCTTGCATAAGTATAGCTTTGTTTTCATTCTTTGTGTAATAGATTATCTAATTCAAGCTATATGTGGCACAAATAATAAAAAAAGTATGCTGTAATTCTAGCATATCATAAGATTTCACTGGATGCTAACAGACAAACACAGTACTGGTTAAAATATAGTTTGATACTTTGAACCCAAATACTTCATTTTTGCTTCATGTACCCTGAGCTATCAGCATCCTCAGACTTCAGAAAACACTGGCTCTATTCAAGAAACTCATCACTACAGTGATGGTTTTAACAGCAATGCCACTACAACTACATATGCTCTAAAATTTTGAAATAATAATTATAATTATTTTACATTTGATGAATCTAAAAAAATAGAAATATATCATAAGAGTGGAAAGTAAGTGAGAAAAAATTGAATACACAATGAAAATATCTCAAGAATTATAACTATCAGTATTCTTTATCCGTGTTCATTCCCACCTCGTTTATTTTCATAAATATGAAACAATTCCATATATCTAAATCAAAATGTGCAACTACAGTATTTACTGTTCTCAATGAACCTTACTATTGTTTTATATATTGGATATTCTACAGTTTCCTGAAAACAAAATCCTATATATTCTTTTTCTTTCAGGAACTAATTGTGACAATATTCCCAGGTTTGAAAATGCCGTACTCATAGAAAAGGAAAAAATTTCATACAGGTCAGGTGAACAAGTGACATTCAAATGTGCACCTTCTTATCAATTGGATGGGTCCAACATTGTGACATGTGTTAATCGAAAGTGGATTGGAGAGCTGGTATGCAAAGGTAGTCCGGTGAACTTTCAACATGTATTTATTATATTTTTAGAATATTGATGAAAAGGTCTAAATAATTTGAAAATGGGCAAAGGTTAGCTTTTAAAGCAAGATGAAGTTGGTTTATGTTTTAAAATCAAATCAGGAAATTAAAAACCCAATGACTAAGCTAGTAGAGTGATGTTCTCTAGAGTGTGGTCCATGGCCAGTATCATCAGTATTTTTGGACTGGGTTTATGAATGTAATTTAGCACTGAGAGCTCATCCTAGAGATCTTAAATAGAAAAATACCTAAAGTCCTTGAGTCCACTATAATGGATTCTGGGCAAACTCGGTGTGTAGAGTGTAAATATTTGTAAATGCATTGCTAAAGAATCACCTTTCAATTGATATTTTCTACATATATCATTTTCTCTAATTGTTAGGATATTAGGATATTTTTTATTTGATCATAGTTTTCCTATAATTTGACAGTCTTGAAACAATCTTTCCCCCATCATGTTGAAAATGGATTTTTTCCCACTTGATATATCCTGATTATGTTTTTCTTTTCCTCTACTTCTCTAAGTTCCTCTCCACCTCTTATCCCATCTGCACACAGTCCCTTTAAGAAAAGACAAAAGAATGATAGAGACTGAAATCCCCACTCATTCCCACACTCAGGAATTCCAAAAATACATTTAACTAGAAACCATAATACACACACACACACACACACACACACACACACACACACAAAGGATCTGTAGGGTTAAAAGAGAGAAGGAACATATAAATAAAATAAAGTAAAACCAAAAACAAAACACAAAAATAAAATGGAATTTGAAAAACGAAAAGCCCTAACAGGACATTATGAGACAAAGAACCTCCAAAGATGTCTTTGAGTTTATTTTATGCAGCCTGCCCTTAAGTAGCTTGTTTCTCATGTGATACTTCCTTGCAGAACTCAAAATTTTTATATGCAAGTGGTTATCAATTGGAAATTGCTTCTAGGGTAGGGATGTAGGCCTGTGGCACCTGCTCCTTTTAGCTCTAGAACCCCATCTGGTGCAGGCCAATCCAGGCTCTTGCATACTGACTCAGTCTCTGAGTTCATATGTGCATCAATCTTGTTTGTTTAGAAGGCCTTGCTTTCATGGTATCCTCTATCTCTTCTGGTTCTTACACTCTTTCCAACTCCTCTTCTGCATGGGTCCTTGAGCCATATATGGAGGGATTTGATGGAGACATTCTGCGCCAAATCTTGGAGTGTTCCAAGATTTCTACATAATGTCTTTATTTGGGTCTCTGTATTTGTTCTTATCTGCAGCAGGAAAAAACTTCTCTGATGACAGCCAAGCAAAGCACTGATCTAAGAGTGTAGAAGAATATCATGTGGAGTCCTTTTATCTCTATGGGTTTTAATTTTGGGGGTTTTGTTTGGTTGTTTTGTTTTTTTTACAGGAGTTGTATTTGTTTTCACAGTAGTATTAAGTGTCTGGGCTATCTCGTCTCAGGTTCTTGGTCACCCAAGCAGTGTGAGATATGGGTTACATCTCATGCAGAAGTTCTTAATTTATATTCCTTTTTTTTTTTTTTTTGTCAATCCAACAAGCTAGGTATGGTGGTATTTTATTTGTACTGAAATGTGATTTTATTTGTATGTATAATAAATAACATTGCCTGGGGGTCAGAGCTAATAGCAAGCCATAGCAGAGCTGGCCATTTGTGGCACACGCCTTTAATCCCAGCACTTGGTAGACAGAGCTAGGTAGATCTCTGTGTGTTCAAGGATACAGCCAGCATTGGAGAGACGTGCCTTTAATCTCAATACCAACCACAGAAGACCTGGAAGTCTCTACAGACAGGTAGTGATGAGGTAGTCATGTGTTTGAGTTTACAACCAATGAGAAGGCAGAACAGAAAGACTATATAAAGACAAACACACAGGAAGTAGGTCTCTTTCGAAGAGGTCTCTTGGCTGAAGAGGCTAGCTGCAGGGTAAGGCTCTTAGCTCTGATCTCTTGTCTTTCTTCTTTGCATTGGTTCTGTGTTTCTTATTTAATAAGATGGTTGGTTACATCTACAGCTAGGTGTCTTCATTTTCCTATCATAAGTTGCAGAAATAATTCCATTATAAATCAAGGGTGTGTGGATAGGTTGGTGTTTATGTTTCTACTTTGGTAGCATGCAAAATATCCTCCTTTACCAAAGATGCTAGCCTATATGTAGGCACCAGCTCGACTTTGCTGTGTTCAATGAGTTGTGAAGGTATTGTCTTTCACAATGTGTCCTTGCCTCCAGTTTGTGAAAAACAACCTATAGTCTTGCTAAAACCCTGGGTGTTTTGTAAGTTCTCATGTAACATCTTTGGCTACTAATTCAATTAGATGTAACCTAATCCTGGTACTAGAAGCTTCATTTGATAACAAGAATTGTCGACTGTGGCTCTGTCTCCCCACATTTTTGGTTATTTCATTTACATTGTCTTCATATATGTATGCATTTTAGGAAGTTTCTACTGTATTATGTTTCTATAATATCCCTCAAGTGTTGCTTAATTTTAGTTGTACTTCCATGTATTCTGTTCCTTGCCTCTCCTTCCCTATTCCATAACTATTTATACCTTTTCCCCATGGTATGGAGGTCATTTTTTCTACACCTAACCCTTTTTGGTCTATGGATTATAGCCTGACTATCATTGACTTAACAGCTATTATCCATATAAGCAAATGTACATCATATATGTCTTTCTTTGTCTGGATTCCCTCACTCAAAATGATTTTTTTCTTGTTCCATCAATTTGCCTGTGAATTTCATGAGTTTATTTGAGTGTGAGTATGTGAGAAAGTATGTGTGTCTAAATATAACACATTTTCTTTATCTATTCATCTGTTGAGAAATACATTTAGAATCTTATGTGTTGATTGCATACTTATGATGAACAAATAGGTAATGATACTTTCATTTGCTCCTTAGACAATTCTTGTGTGGATCCACCACTTGTGAAAAATGCTACTATAGTAACAAGGCCCATGGATAAATATCCACCCAATGAGAGTGTGCGATATGAATGTAATAAACCTTTTGAACTATTTGGGGAAGTAGAAGTGATGTGTCAAAATGGGGTTTGGACAGAGCCACCAAAATGCAAAGGTAGGCCATCGTATTTCCCAATGTTTATTTGATAATATAATTTGGTTACTGTACATTAGTGAAGATAAAGTGAAGTAATTCTTATGAGAAGCATTTTTCTAATTATTTTTTGTTTTAAAATTGAGAATAGATTCTTCTCCCATACAATACATCTCTACTGCAATTTCCCCTCCCTCCACTCCTCCCAACTCACCTCTCCCCTACACCCCCTCACACACACACATATCCATTCTCTTCCAGATCCACTCCCTCAGCATTTCCCTGCAGAAAGGAACAGGTCTTCAAGAGTCAAAAACCAAACAGGACAAAACAAGATACAATAAAACAAGGCAAACCTCTTCATATTGAGGCAACACAATGTAACTAAATAGGTGGAAAAGAGTCCCAAGAGCAGGCAAAAGAGTAAGAGATACACCCACCCCCACTGTTGGAGTCCTAGTAAAACACTAAGCTAAAAGCCATAACATATATGCAGAGCACCTGCTGCAGACCCATGCAGGCCTGTGTTTGCTGCTTCAGTCTCTGAGAGCCCATGCCACCACATGCCAGAAGGAGGGCCAGCTATCCCACTCTCATGTCCTAAGGGCCAGCTCAGACAAGCCCTCACCAACAAAGTCAGCTCTACTGTGCTAACCAGGCCAGGTGCAGGAACCACTCCACAGCAGGTCAGGGACAAGGCCAGCTCTCCCACTCTAATGACCCAGGGACCAGATCTCATGCCTGCCACATATGATAAGGGGTAATGAGATTTTTTTAAAAAAAAAAAAAATTAACATTTTATATACCAACCACAGATTCCCCCTCTCATCCCTCATCCCTCCTCCCACTCGCCCTCCCCCTACTTCCTCCTCCAACCCACCCCCCTCTTCCCTTTCTCCAAAAGGGAGTTAGCAAAACCTGGTACATTCAGCTGAGGCAGGACGACCAAGCCCCTCCCCCCTGCATCAAGGGTGAACAAGATGTTCAACCATAAGCAATGGGCTCCAGAAAGCCAGCTCATGCACCAGGGATATTCTTACACGTTGAATTCAAAATATGCCTTTAATCCCCATACTTGACAGGCAGAGGCAGTGGATCTCTATGAGTTTGAGGGCAGCCTGGTTTAGAAAGTGAGTTCCAGGAAGGGCTCCAGAGCTGCACAAAGAAACCTTGACTTGAAAAAACACTATAAACCAAACACACACACACACACACACACACACACACACACACACACACACCACACACACACAAAAAAAAAAAAAACCTAAAAATACAGGTATTTTCTATGAGTACATGTGGAGACTTAGTTTTACAGAAATTTCCCAAATTACCTCAATAAGTCACTTACAATTGAATATAAACTATATATTGCTGATGAATAAATTTACATCATATCTATAAAAAACTTCAACTGCCTAGTCCACCACTAAAATCTCTGTATGCAGATCACTTGCATGTAAAACAATTCCTAGTAAGTTTGATATATCTCTTCTTTTGTTAATTTGTGTTTGAGTTCTGTGATTATAAACTATTTCTCCTTTTTCCCTTGCTTTGGAGGGATATTTCTTAGTAATTTTATTTTGGCATGCATCTTTTGTTGGTTTTGAGCACACAATTTGAGTATGCTATCTCTAATCATTTCCTAACCACCTATCACTGAAGTCACCATAGATCTCTGTTTGCCATTCTTACTTACGCTAACACTTTATATTTCAAAGAAAAAGTAGAAACTATACTTACCTTTGAAATCTATTTGTGCTTCCCATTTTCCATGTTTTACTTAAAGATTCCCTTAGCACTTCCTGTTACATATATTGAGCACCATTCTCCAGTGCTAGGTTTCATCTCAAAAATAAACATAATTTTATGAGCAGAAAGATCATCTAATATATACCCTCATTTTACCAGTTACTTTTCTCCTAAAGTCTAATTGTTATTATTATTCTGTATAAGAAACTCTGTTGGTGATAATCCTCTTTATCTTCTTTTATCTGATAATGTCTTCATTACCATCTTTATTGGAAAGGCAAGCACCACAGGACATAGAACTCAAGGTAGACATTCATTTCCTTTCACTTCCTATGGCCTCCATGGTGGTAAATGGGAAGTTACTTTCTTTTGGATCTTGAACCTGGGTGACTCGTGATTCCATAAAGATGTTGTTTTTTTAGATGTTTTCATTAAGCAGTTTCAATACATGTATCTGCATGAACTTCATGGGACTGGTGCTGTTTGAATTTAATCAGCTCTTAAATATGCACATGTGTGCCTTATGCCCACCCCTTTTCATTTTCCTTCATGCTAAAATATTTTCTTTGAATCTTGGACACTTTTTTTTCCTTCTAAACAATGTTGGAGTTCAGTTCAGTTTCATGATGCTCCTGGTGATGCATTACTCAACAGAGCATTCCATCAGTAGTACTTGATTTCAGTCTTTTCCTGTGGCTTCACCAGGACAATCAGCAGTCCAGATGAAAAATAAATATTACACAGCATTATGCAGCTAGTTGAGTCCTGAATATCTTAACTAGAATTTCAATGTCTTCCCTTTCCTGCATTGTTTACTAAAAACATTGTGTCCAAGAACTCTCATTGTACCCAGCAAGTATGACATATAGATGCTATACTTACTTCACCCACATCAGGGATACAGAAAGCCTCTTTTGCCTTCTGTAACTTTAAAAGCTTTACATTCTTGTCTATAAATATGTGTTGCTAAAAAGTGATGATGAAGATAAGGAATATATAGAGCAAAAAAATACTCTGGTGTCTTGAAAACAAAGAAACTCTGCCTGTCTACATTGGAGTCTGTGTGCTCAGAAGCTATTAGTCCATTTATGAGCAGTGAAAGGCTTCAGAGCAGAGCAGACATGTTTGTTCCATTTCATTAAGTGTTGAGGTGAGAAGGAAGGAAGAACTTATAATTCTCTGTTTATATAATTGAAATTTCTTCTAGTCATCATTTCTGTAGCCAGAAATCACTCAAGTCTTGTTTAGCACTATACTTTCATTGGTTCTGTTTAAGCATGTACTTTGATTTAGTTTCTCAAACATTCAAATGTTGTGTTCTTAGAGACAACAGGGAAATGTGGGCCTCCTCCTCCTATTGACAATGGAGACATCACCTCCTTCCCATTGCCAATGTATGCACCATTATCATCAGTTGAATATCAGTGCCAGTCCTTGTACCAACTGCAAGGCAACAAGAAAATAACATGTAGAAATGGAGAGTGGTCAGAGCCACCAAAATGTTTACGTAAGTACCTCATTCTTATAGACATAGGAGATTCAGTTTCATGATATGGATATTTTTCTGTTAATAACATTCACACACTAAAAGTACTCTTTTGCTTAGTGTTTCATTGCCAAATATCAGTTTGTGAGGAAAGCAAGATTATTAGATTCTTTTTTATATAAAAATAGTTTCCAGGCAGTGGTGTTTTCTGCCTTCAATCCCAGCACTGAGGAGGCAGAGGCAGGCAGATACCTGTGAGTTCGAGGCCAGCCTGGTCTACAGAGCTAAACCCAGGAGAGGCATCAAAACTATATAGAGAAACCCTATCTCAAAAATGAAAAGAAAACAAAAAAATTGGCAAATATAATTATGCATGTTATTCTTTATTATTGAATTTTTGCTAACATATATTGATATCCATAAAACTTTGTACCAGCATGACATTTCTGTACCCATTGTTTCGGTCAGTGCTCTGTTGCTTTGAAAAGACACCATAACAGTTTCCTCACCTGAGGCTCCTTCTTCTCTGATGACTCTAGCTTGTGTCAAGTTGACACACAAAACCAGCCAGTACAGAGTCCATTCTTGTTCAAATCACCACACCTGTATATACCTTGTACTTATTAAATCTAGTATCCCTCACATAAGCTCCCCTTCCCTTAATTTAAATCATCTAGCTTGTATCAGTCACTGTCAGGCATTCAAGAGGAATTTTAGTTTTTTTTTTTCCACTCTGTGAGAAAGAAAACAAAGGACTTGTATTCCTTTGTTTGCCTCATTTCACTTAATGACCTTCAATGCCTTTTTCTAACTAAAATAATAGAAATTATCTATAATGTCTGAAAAATATTTCTTGTATAAATATAGCACATTGTCATTATAAGTTCATCTATTGGTGGGCATCTAGACAGTTTTCCCATCTTAGATATTACGATATAGTAATGTGCATTAAAAGTATTTATGCAGGTTGAATAGGTTGATTTCGTTTCCACTGGGTACATACCAAAAGAGGGATACAGGGACAGAATATGAAAGATATATTTTTAGATTTTCATGAAATGTCAATATTGTTCTCCATAGTAACTGCACAAACTCATGTTCCCATTAACAGCTTTTGAGTTTATTTTCCACTACATACTCACAAGCATTTGTAAGTTTTAAGTGTTCCTTTCTTTAACACAATTCTAACTGGATATTAAGGTATCTCATTGGAGCTATGATTGGCAGTGAAATGATAGCTAATGATATTAAGTATCTTTTTTCCCCCACAGGCATGTATATTTATTCTTTTGTAAAGTGTCTGATAATTTTACCCAGTGTTGGGTAGCTTGTTTTCCTTTTTAAAAGTATTTTGAATTCTTTATTTATTCTTGATATAGAAAACTCCTTACATGGCATATAGAAGCCCCTGACAATGAAAAACTGACAATCATTTTCTCCAAGTCTACAGGCTGTCATTCCTTAATTGTATTGATTATGTTCTCTGCTATCCACAAGTATTTATTGTGATATACTCCTTTGGTCAAGATTTGCTTTTATGTCTTATGTTTTGGGATTCCAGCCAAACATTCAGTGCCCAAAATCAGTGAAGTATTATCCTGTTGTCTTTCCTTGTAAGTTCAGTGTTTCTGTTCTTACATTTATGTCTTTGATCAACTTTGAGTTGATTATTTTCCCCCAGAATGAGAGGCAGGAATCAGATTTTATTCATTTCCACATGGATATCAATTATCCTTGTATCATTTATTGGATATGCTATAAGTTCTCTTACATATGTTTTGGAAACTATTAATATCAATTAACATTAGATCCATACATCAAGTTTTCAGATCTCTTTTCTCATTCATTGGACCCTTCATCCCAGTGTCATGGTGTTCTGGTTACTGTAGGGCTCTTAGTATATAACTCAATGCAGTATTATGATAGCTCCAGATTTTATTCTTTTTGCTCAAGTTCCATTTGTTTATTTATTCTATTGTACTTCCATCAAACTTAGAACCCCTCCTCTTGTGCTGTTATCCATCCCCTTTTCCCAAGTCTCCATGGCAGGTGGGGCGGTCTTAGGACCCAGGGGAGAACAGAGGCTAGGGTGCCAGAGGGCTGTGAATATATAAGTGCAAGGAACAACTTGGAAATCTGTGTCTGGGGCAGCTTGTTTACTGTGGTAACAGGCTAGTTTATATATAGCTTAACAATAAAGGGACAAGCAAAATGCACCTAACTTGCATACACAGGTCCGACAGAGGTAAGGCAGGCATTTATCAGTTCAGATACCAAAAAGTCCCCACAGAGGGGGGAGTGCAGGTAGGGACCATGCAGAGAGAGAATTGCAACAGAGGTAGCTCATCTCCTAGTTTATTAACTGACAGGCTGTCAACCAAATAACACAGGTTGGCACCAGCTTTCTGGTGGGGAGGAAAAGACTCGCTGGCTTTTAAAATAATATGACTGTTTGTCCCTATGAAGTGAATCCAAGTTTTTCAACCCAAGTCAGGAATGAATGCCTGACTCCTACTGTAAAATCTCAGAAAGATTTTGGCCTACAGGCACACTCCACTGTCTAGTTTGATAATGGAAAGCTACACATTTGTGTGGGGAAATATTATTGGTACTTCATTGGGGTTTCACAGAGTATCCTAACTGGCATGGAAATCATGGACATTTAAATATTAATATTATAATACATTAATAAACAAATTTCTTCATTTTTTGTCTTTTCAGATTCTTTCAGCAGTTAACTGATAGTGTGGTAGAAGACTGTCACTTCAGTTGTTAAATTCATTGCTAGATTAACTTTTTTGACATTAATGATAACAAGATTGCTTTTATTGTTAATTCTCAGGAAATAATGGAATTGATCTATAGTAAAGGGCTGATTTTTGTATAATGATACTGAATATCACTGCTTAATCAGTTTTGTTTTCAGTTCTTATATTTTGGGTGAGCTTTTGGGATTTACATGAATAAGAATAAAATGATTTGACTTTCTCCCCAATAATTGTATATTTTATTTTCCAAATTATTAAAATTCAAATTCTGATACTTCAGTAAAAGATTTGGGAGAATGGACACCTGTTACTTAATCCTGATCATATAGTCATTTTTTATTTATTGAAAATAGTCTTTTCAGACAACATACCCTGATTAGAGTTTCCCATCCCTCTATTCCTCCCAATTACCTCCCCATTTCCTCTTGCCCCCAGATCCACTCCCTTTCTGTCTCTCAATACAAAAGAACAGGAATCTAGGAGATAAAAACCAAGCATGACAAAATAAAATATAATAAGATGAGGCAAAAACTATCATATAAATATTGGACATGGCAACCCAACAGGAGGGAAAGAGTTCCAAGAGGAGGCAAAAGATTCAGAGACCTGTAACATGAATTCTAAACAGTCTTATTAGCAAAAAACCCAGAGCCAGATATTGGGGTAAAAGCTTAAAGATCAGAGAGGCAGAGAGCAAACCACTAGTTCTTACTCCTACAAAATCCTCAGCCAAAAGAGAGCAAGCTTTTCTCTCCACCCCATCTTATCACTTCCTCTCTCTGCCCAGCTCTATCACTTCCTGTCTGTCTGTACACACCTCCAGACTTTTATGGTTAACTAGTGGCTATCTCCTTCTTCTGATTTTCAGGCAAGCTTTATTTGGTAGAGCATAAATAAAATATCACCACAGAGACCCACTTGTACTCATAGTTAGGAGTCCCATAGAAACATTATGCTCCATTATTTATATGTACCACATTTTATTTATCCATTCTTCAGTTGAAGGGCACCTAGGTTGTTTACAGGTTCTTGCTATTACTAACAATGCTGCTATGAACATAGTTAGCATGTGTCCTTGTGGTATGATTGAGCTGGATCTTGAGGGAGGCTGATTCCCAATTTTCTAAGGAAGTGCCATGTTGTTTTCCAAAGTGGCTGTTTAAGTTTACATTCCCACCAAGAATGGAGGAATGTTCCCCTTGCTCCACATCCTCTCCAACATAAGCTGTTTTCAGTGTTTTTGATCTTAACCATTCAGGTGTAATGAATGATTACATGATTAATCATTAGATTGGATTAGATTAGATTCATGGTATCTCAGAGTTGTTTTGATTTGCATTTCCCTGATGATTAAGGATGTTGAGCAATTCCTTAAATGTCTTTCAGCCATTTGAGTTTCCTCTGTTGAGAACTCTCTGTTTAGCTCTACAGCCCATTTTTTAATTGGACTGTTGGGTATTTTGATGTCTAATTTCTTGAGTACTACTCAGCAGCGAAAAACAATGAGATCATGAGGTTTTCAGGCAAATGGATGGAACTATCAGGAAAAGATCATCCTGAGTGAGGTAACACAGACTCAGAAAGACGAACATGGTATGCATTCACTCATAAGTGGATACTAGACGAAAAGCAAAGGATAACTAGACTGCAACTCATAACTCCAGGGAGGCTACCTAATAAAGAGGACCCTAAGAAAGACACAGGGATCACCCAACTACAGAGAAATTGATGAGATCTACATGATCAAACTGGGGGTGAGTGGGGGAGGTAATGGAAGGCAAGGGTCGGGGGAAAGAGAGCTTAGGGGAATGGGAGGTCCCAGCTGGATCAGGAACAGAGTGGGAGAACAAGGAAAGAGATAACATGATAAATGAAGACCCCATGGGAATAGGAAGAAGCAGAGTGCTAGAGAGGTCCCAAGAAATCCACAAAGATACCTCCATGATAGACTACTGGCAATGGTCGAGAGAATACCTGAGATGACCTACTATGTTGATTGGATGGCCAAACACACTAGCTGTCGTGATGGAACTCTCATCCAGTGACTGATGGAAGCAGATGGAGAGATCCACAGCCAGGCCCCAGATGGAGCTCCAGGAGTGTCTAATCAGTGAGAGAGAGGAGGGATTATATGAGCAAGAGATATTGAGACCATGACTGGAAAAAGCACAGGGACAACTAGTGGAAACACATGAACTATGAACCAATAGCTAAGGAGCCACCATGGAACTTGACCAGGCCCTCTGGATAAGTGAGACAGTTGATTAGCTTGAACTTGGAGGCACCCAGGCTGTGGGACCGGAACCTGTCCTTCATGCATGAGCTGACTTTTTGGAACCTAAGGCCTATGCTGAGACACTTTGCTCAGCCTTGGTATAGGGAGGAGGGGACTGTACCTGCCTCAACTGAATCTACCATCACCACCCAGCTCTAAAACAAACTTTTAAAAGAATTTTTGTACCTATATTTGCCTCTTCTCTATACTTTTATTATATCTTCTGTTTTCGTGGGATTTATATGTATTTAATATTTGATGTTGGTAGTTATACTTCATTTTTGAATGTTGCTCTCTCTAGAGCACATTTAGTTAGTCATGTTAGATATGCATTCATTCAGTTTTTAATTTATTATGCTTTATTTTTTATTGGTTTTTTGGTTGGTTGGTTATTTGACTCCAAGTTGATACATCCCAATGAACTTCTGAACAGTTAGAATTGTCATTTGGAATGGTCAGGATTTTTCTCCTAATGACATTTTTTACCTATTTTAATTAACTTATACAGCTGTCAAATTTTCAATTATTTGAGTTTGTTTCAAACTGTATCTTGCCCATAAATTTTTTCACTCACAACCCCAATTGGATTTTTTTTATTTCTTTAATTATGTTTCTGTTTTCCCTTGGAAATAATTGTGTTTTTTTTTTAAAAAAAATGATTTTTTAAAACTTTTCAACTGACAGGTGGGGTGATAGAGACAGCTCAGGGTACCAGGCTCTTAATGTGTCAAGATTCCTACAGTGGGTGCCAGCTCATAGAAGATGATGCAGGTTTTCTCAGAAACTGTTATTGGCAGATCTGCTACTCACAAGGGCTATTTTTCCTGAAACCCTCAGCAGAGAGAGGTCAGTAGGCTTCTCCTCTGACTAGACAGTGGCATGACACCAAATGCTGTAATGGGAGATGCGGATATGGGAATTTGCCACCCACTCTAGCACTTAGTCCCAGCCTTTACAGTACAGTATGATCGAATGTGTTGTGGGGCAGGATGGCAGCACTAAACAAATTGGTTGCACACAGCATGAACTTGGACATTGTGCCCTCTTGGTTTTCTAGCAATGTAAAGAAGGCCAAGGGACAGGGTTGTAGTTGCTGAAGCTGCTTTCCAAGCAGGTTACTAACTTACCCAGTGTGATAATTTGATAGATTTATTTTTTAAACTATGGAAATCAAAATCATAATACAATAACCACTATTCATAGTTACAGCCTTGTGAGTGAATGATGATCATTATGAAGGTGGTTATGATTTGGCTTTCTAAGAGCAGTCTTTTCAGTATACTCGTCTCACTGAACATTAGGTCTGAATATCATATACATGTCAAGGTTCAAATTTTTTACCTTTTCCCAATACCTAAATCAATGCAAACAACCACAAATGTCCTGAAATCCTGGTGTCTTATTTCATTCACATTAGGTATTCTTGTTTTGAAATCTAATTATCACATTAAAAAACATTGTTTTGATACTATTTGCTAGTTCAATACAAACTGATTCTAATGTGCTGGTTTAATACAGTTTTTTAAAAATATTTGAGAAATAATATTTGAAAGCTGAGTCACTGTAGGTTTATGTATTAATAAACTTTTGGTAATTTTTCTTTCAGATGCATGTATAATATTGGAAGAAATTATGGAAAGACTTAACATAATTTACAGATGGAGAGAAAACAAAAAGCTTTATATCCGATCAGGAGACTATGTTGAATTTCAGTGTAAATTTGGATATAAACAGACAAAAACATCACCTCCACTCCGTACAAAGTGCGTTGATGGTCACATCAATTATCCCAGTTGCTCCAAAAACGCTCTTGGTTCAATAAGTGAATGAACCTTTGTTTAGAAATGTGCATGTCTATTACTAATACAGTTTCACTTTATGTTTGAAGTATTGTTTAACTCATTTCTTCTCATAAGTGTAAACTTGTGTTGATGTATAGTGATTAATAATTTGGGGCCTGAGAGACTACTGCCACAAATGCAAAGCAGTGAATTCAGAATTTCTAAAGCAGAATGGGCTGTGTGCTATCACAGTAACCAATGGCAGCAAGACAATAGATGTGACCTATTAGTGGTTAGTAGAAACACTACCCATCACTACATTTCAATCTAAGGCTTTGATTCATGGTGAACAGAAGACATATTTTTTCATCTTCAAATTAGTATTATCTCACAAATATGTAATAATCAAACTGTCATACTTAACTTACTAGTGAATATAAGTATTTGCTAAATACTACTTTCATATTAATAAAAAATCTAAGAAACGTTTTAGTATGAACTTCTGAATATGTTAATTTGGCACATTGAAATATTTAAGCAATTATACAAAGAAATTAAAATTTAACTAGGTATAGGATTCTGTCACTGACATAAACCTATAAATATTCTCTATACCTGATAAACAGGCAATAATCACATATTAATAATGGAAAATAACACTAAATATAATCAAATTTATTTTTAAAAAATGCTGTATTTATCGTTAGGGAAAATAGTGTTAAGAACTGCTATTTAGTATCTTTTTTTATGAAGAAAAAAGTTTCATTCATTTTACACACCAATCAAAGATCCCTCTCTTCCCTCGTCCCTCCAGCCTCCCCCTCCACAACCCACACCCCCATTCCCCTCCACAAGAAGGCAAGGCCTCCCATAGGGAAGCACATCCAGTAGAGGCAAGTCCAAGCCCTTCCCCCCACCTCAAGGTTGCACAAAGTATCCCATCACAGGTAGTGGGCTCCACAAAGCCTGCTCATGCAACAGGGATGGATACTGATTCTACCACCAAGAGGCCCCCCAAGCAGATCAAGCTACACAATTGTCGCACTATGCAGAGGACTTAGTCCCATGAACTCCACTGCCAATGCAGGCTCCACCGCCATTGATCCAACTTTCATGAGTTGCAATAAGTTTGGTTTAGTCATCTCTGCAAGTTTCCCTATCATGATCCTATTTAATATCTTTAAAGATAGTTTCTAGTTTACAGTGGATGGACATAACATATTGACTTTATGATAGTGAAAAAGTGATGATTGTTCAGCAAATACTGCTAAGATTTTATCTTTATTCCTGGGCTCTCTATCTGTAATATTACATTGTGAAAACTGGCAGCAATAACTCATCATTGTTCCTATTTGAACAAGAAAACCAGGCAACATTTCAAAGCCCCATATTGGTTTACTCTGATTAATAGAACATTGGGTACTTAAAATGAATTAAAACTGACATTGTTTTCAGTGTACCTTGGCTAGTCAGGATGTAATTCCAGTATAAGCTGAGGAGTATTAATCTTTATCTTTATATTTTAGTACCTCTACCATGAACATAATAGGTTTTGAACCATAAAAACAAGTTATTTTAAGAAAAGGATGTCTAAAGATATTTTTAATTTTTCACATGTGTGGGATCTTTAAGATGAAAATATAGGTATAAATAACAAGGTCAAAATTGAACAAATATCTTATAACATTCTATTATTCTATTGGATAGTTGCCAGAGAGAGTATAAAATAGTCTTAATAACATATAATTTATAAATAAGTTTGAAAAAACTAAAAGAGGATATGATTAAACAATGAAATGAAAACCAATAAAATACAAACTAACAGTTGAATAAAGTAAGTGATATAATTCAGGATCAGAAAATAGACTCAATAAAAAGATAGAAATCCTGAATAAAAAATCTAAAACAAAACAAAACAGGAAATGATAATGCCAGTAAGCTTTATGCCCTCAAATAATAGATACAGTATCCTAGCAGTAGTGACAAACTGCCATTGTCACAAAGGCAGATCCTACAAATGTACACATTACTTTGAGTTATGCTTGACTGAAGAAAAAAGGTTAATTTGATTATTTTTGTACAGTTCAAATTACTATCCATGAGTAAGCCTGACAGAAGACACCTGAATGGAAAGACTCGTGGGTAGAACGGACAACGTGGAAAGGGGAGTAGCAGGCCTTGAAACCAGGTGGAGGAGTTTGACCACTCTGGGAAAGAAATTGATAAACCAAAGTCAAATCCAAGAAACAAAACACTCAGGAACTCTGGGACTCTCTAAAGGGACATAATCTTTTAAACAAAGACATAGAAGAAGAAATCCAGATCAAAAACACAAAATATTTTCAACCAAATTACAGAATTATTCAAATCTAAGGAGAGACACCAATATCCAGGTGCAAGAGGTATAAAGAACCAGAAATACATAAAATCTTCTGTTTCGTGTAAGCCAAAACACTAAATGTACAGAACAAAGAAAGAATAGCTGAAAGCTGCAAAATATTTTCATTACAGGGAATGTTGTGCCAATATGTGCAGCACATAACAGAATCAAAACAAAAAACACATGGTCGTGTCAACGGATGTTGAAAAGCTCTGGACAACATTCAATATCCCTCATGCTAAGAAGCCTTAGAAAGACAGGAACAGGAATCCCACATCTCAGAAAAAATAGTAGTTATACATGATAAATCGCCAGGATTATTCTAAATGGGGGAAAATAAAATGTTTTTTTCTAATCGTCCATGTAAGATGAGGATCCCCACTGTCACCACTCTTGAACAATACTGTACTTGAAATATTTGTCAAAACAATAAAACAGAAGAGAAAAATAAACAAGATACTTATACTGAATTACCTAAATTTCAGGTATTATGATCTTATACTTGAAAGCCCCTGGTGACTCTTCCTGAAAATTCTAATATTTGACCAACAATTGTTGTATGGAATCATAATACAGAATGAACACACAAATAACAGTATTTTTCCACATGAAAGTAATGACTACTTCAATTAATATACTACCAGGCACCACCCAACCTGAATAGGGAAGTGAGGATGGAGAAATAATAGATAGGAAACAGAGTTGTAGACCTAAAAGAAAAAGACAGACAAAGGACAGTTTGGGAAGGCTCTGCATCAATAACATAGCAGCCCTGAATTTATTTCTCACAGCCATTTTATACCCAAAGCAAGGGGGGCAAAAGGTCCCCCCTCTAAAGGACACCATAGTTCAAGGTACAAACAAGCACAAACACTTCCTTAATTCTTAAGACATCTGGTAAGCACACCTTTGGCCAAACATCCTGTTATTTGGCCTTGAAGAGCAAAACATCTAAGTAGTCAGGCATTTGGCTAATCATCCTGCTATTCAGCCTAGATGAGGAAATACAAGCTTGAACTCTCTGACCTTGAGTCAAGATGGAATCAAGCCACAAAGTGGAGTTACTGTGGGTTCCCACAATATACCAGGAAAACAATTTCATTCACAACAGCCACCAAAATTATATAAGAATACACATGCATCTCCCTGGAAGCGGGAAATAAAATAGATACCACGAGTGGACTGGTGGCAGGTGGGGACAGAAACAGAAGGGACCAGATAGGGAATATGCAGGGAGATAGTACTGGAAGAGACAGGGGAATTGGGGGATGTATTAGTGGTTATGTAGAATGCTAGTGAGTGGAAACCCCTGGGAATCTACAAGGGTGACTCTAGCCAAGACTCCTAGTAATGGGGGGAGACGGGTGGTAATCGAGCCTGAACTGGCTATCTCCTATAACCAGGCAAGACCTTCAGTGGAGGAGTTGGGAGGGACACCAACCCAGCTATAAAATCTTCCACCTATAATTTGTCCTGCCTATAAGGTGTGCTGGGGTAAAGATGGAGCAGAACTGTGGGAGTGGCCAACCAATGACTGATCCAGCTTGAGATCCATGCCAAGAGAGGGAACCCACGCCTGACACAGTGTGGAGCGCCAGGAACCACGGGCTGGATAGCCAAGACAGGATAGAACCACACGTGACAAGAACAAAAAGTCAACAAAATGATTCTGCTATGCTCATAGATGGGAACCTAGCATAATCATTATCCCAGAAGCTTCATCCAGCAGCAGTTGGAAACAGATGTAGAGACCCACACCAAACATTAGGTGAAACTCAGGGAACCCTGTGGGAGAGGGGGAGGAATGATTGTAGGAGCCAGGGTTGTAAGAGTCCAGCTATAGCAGTTCAGAGAAACTGAAAAGGAGATGTGGAGTCGGCAGGTAGACAAACACAGGAGACTTATGTGAAGGAGCAAAACATGATTCTATGTCTAAGACAAAAGTTTCTATGCAGGAAAAAAATTACCTCATTACTACAAGTTACATATTTTCCAAAAAAAAAAACAGATTAAAATCTTTACACAGGAATAAATCACATTATGATCACAAGTTATATATTTTTCTTGGATACCCATAGGTAGTTAAACATTTTTTGTATTAATTTTCCTATCATAACATCTTCAGCCAAAAGCAGTGATTCTTTTCTTATTAACAAAGTTTTAAGCAAGCCAAGTATATTTCAGCCAGTTGCTTTGTACTAGCAGGCAGCTGTAAGTGGAGTTTCTCATCTGAACTGCTGGCTCCCCATTAACCACAGAGACTTATTAATTATTAATTATAAATACTAGCCCAATAGCTAATCTTGATACTAACTAGTCCTTACAACTTAAATTAACCCATATTTCCTATCTACACTCTACCACATGGTGGTACCTTTTTTTCAGCATGGCATGTTCATCTTGCTTCACTCTACATTTGGCTGGTGACTCTCTACTTCTTCCTCCCAGTGCCCTCTTAGCCTGATTCTCCTACCTAACCATTTCCTGCCTAGCTATAGGCCAGTCAGTTCTTTATCAATGAGAACAACACATCTTCAGAGTGTACAAAAGGATTATTTCACAGTAGGTGGTAGTTTGCAGAGTCAGTGTATCGAATTCTTTTCCTTATATTATTCTACAAAACCTTACTCAAGTTTTCTAGCTAACCACCTACATCATTTAATTTCCTTTCACAATTTTGTTTTCTTGAGGTGCACACCAAAACCTGTGATTAATTCTGTAAACTA